ATCAGTAATCATGGAAAATTCAATTTCTTCAATCTACAAAATAACAACCAGTCGTTCCCAGTAGAGCTGGGCAATCAATTTCATTTGCAATATAATCACAACACTACAAAACGCAATTCTCAATTCGCAGAGGCACTCAATTTTCAGTTGTTACATTTAACAAGAGTAAGACAATGACTTTCTCAGTCCAGCCCTTTGGGTGGCAGTAATATGTTAAAAGAAAGGAATAGATGCAGGAATAGATGAACCATGCATGCGAGTAGAAGTAAGCCTTTTTCCAAACAACAATAAAGTTCTGTGACAATGAACTATGGACAAACAAGCTTTCAAGGTAATGAAAACAACAAAACTGAAGTGAAACATCCACATGTGGTTAGTGTAAAGGGAAAGAAAACTGAAAAACCCAATTTAGATTTTCTTTCATTAAAATATTATGTGAAGAAACCTTTTATGCAATATAGAATTTTTGCTAAATTGTTCAGCCACATCTCCCATTATGCTTAGCTTCCGATTATTCAGCCATACAGTAGCAACCAGTAATCCAATTGACGGGTTTATATCTTCATACCAATTTTACATTGAATTCACATCAAATCGCTAAAATTACTCCCACCCTTCATGGTCAAGAACAGGTTTTTTATGATTTAAAACTGGGAATCATACCCAAGAATCATAGCTGCCCATGCTCTCTGTAATTTTGGCAAAGCTTTGAGGTTTAACATAATAATTGAAGTTAACATATTCAAAATCATCCATTATATTTTTGTTCCTGTTCACAACACTGCAGGACTGACTATACCATAGGTGACAAAACAATGTTTGACTTATCTGAACCCAAGGACCCTTTAAACAATTAAACTGTTAATGTTTTGAAGACGCTATTCATGAAAAGCAACTGATCTGATGCATCAATATGTTCTCTACTAGCTGACAAAAAGGTTTAGAATTCTAAAAATTGAAAATATGTATAAATATTGGTGTCGCAATGATACTGATACCAGTATCAGACGGGGCTCCGATACTGCACTAAAATGGTGGCATCGGTATCGGCGAGTACTGAAAAATAGCGCACCAATACCATTTTGAGAGCCCAAAGTTTATTCAACTATTGTCACCCATTCCAGGTAGGCAATAAAAGGTTCTACTGGATTCACTTTGTATTAGTGTTTTTTCCTGCTTCACAAAGGTAGGCAGCATCTTGACAAAGCAATGATGGCAATTATTTTACATCCGAGTAGTATTCAGTTATTCATATATACACACACGCACATCAATTTCAAACAGATGGTATCGGTATGGTATCGGCCGATACTCCACAGCCAGGTAGAGGGTATCAGGGCCAAAAAATGGCATCGGCGCAGCACTAATAAATACATATAAATATTTGACATTTGATATGATATTCAATTAAAAAAAATATTCAATCGGGATGTAATTTTTGGTTTAATACAGATAGTTCTCTGCTACCATTTTAAAAATCAGGATGATAATACAACATATATTAAGTTACTAATGTGGCCATTTAGATAGATTAATGAACTATTACAAGTCAACTAACCACCAAGAAGGACTGAGATTAACTAAACATGTAAATGTAATTTTATATGATAACCCAACAGATTTCAACAACTGACTTTTTTGTTATTTAGATGTTCTTTTAATGCTCCCATGTGAACTCTTGATAAACCACAGTGGGATATTTCTCTGAAACACCTCCTGAAAGTTAAAATTTACTCTTTATAAAATGTACAGCACAATGCATTACAGGCATAATAAAGTGATTTCCCGTTAGATAGGAAGCAGATAAACTATAACATAAAAAACGATTTTCTCTTAGAGGCAGATTCAAGCAAAGTTTGTTTATGATTAGCTTGTCGGGTTATCAATTAGCTAGGTCGTGACTTTCACTCACTTGTGTTGCTTTTCTCATAATTGTTCTAAAATATTTACAGATTCATTCAAGACATAAGTAATATAACGTCATTTTGAAACTCATGAGCAAAGTTTTACCCAAACAGTGAATAACAAATATTCATAATTCAGCAGGAAACACTGTTATGCTGGCGTTAGCTTTCTAGCTGCTTGTTAGCATCAGACAGCAAATGCTAGCTAACATGAATGTTTACGTATAAATTCATTAACCATGAATTATTTGGATTTTTAAAATGAATTCAGCATCCTTACCTGTTTTGCGAGCTTCGTGAAGAGGGAAAGCATCAGAGAACCAACATCCAGACAGAAAAATCCCGGTAACCAGGAATAACACAAATCCATGGCGTCTCTCCATCATCCAAGTTTAGCCAACGATATGTTAGCACACTGAAACTATCCTAAATATACGTCCGACACTGTGCCAAATTGCGTGGTCTCATTGATTGCTAGCTTACTGTCAGTGTAAGCATCTTACGGGACCATATTTTGGACTGTTTTGGACAGTTGCTACCCACCGGGCTAACTAGCTTGAGCTAGCATGTTGAGGCTAAGGAGTTTCAGCTGACGACAGCAAACGCCACTCGGACATGGAGCGTTTCGTTGTCTATGTAGACAAAAGACAGCGTCCTCCTTTCACGAGCTGTCATGTTCAATCAATACACCTAGCCGTTATTTAAATAAACGTAAGGAAAAAAACAACCCACTGGTATCATGAAACACCTCTCATCCAAAGCGCCATGTTCCTGTACATCATGGGATAAGGGCGTATAATTCCCTATGACCGAAAGGCACATAAACCAATCAAGGCTCAGAAAGCCTGCACGTCACACTGGCATAGCCAATCAACACGTAGTTTTCTTATCGGTCAAGTGAATTCAGTGATTTGTATCAAAGCCGAGGAAAGCCTTTTACTCCCAAGCACTTGGCTGACGTGATTGTTACGCAACGGAAGACTGTGTACCTGCATAAAATGTTTATTTCGGGATTTACGACCACCCATAAATAAATATCTGGTTTTATTTACCGGGAGAGAAATATGATTGGTGGACAAATGGGGGCTCGTTTGATTTCAACCTTTTTGCAGATTCTCACATCAGACGCTTCAGGGGCGGAGCTAGATGGGGGGCCAGGGGTGGCCATGGCCACCCCTGGTTAAATATACACATCAATATACTAACATCAAAGATGATAAGTACATAATTCATGCTCTTTTCAGAACTAGATTTTGTGTTATATGGGACAAAGAGAAAAATATGTGTCTCTGAAAGTCATCTAGGAGATAAATAACAATATCAATAAAAACTTACCAAATAATCAATTTATGTAGATATTAGTGCTTGTAAATATAAATTTTATGCAGAATGTTTATTGATACAAGTACGTAAGTAATGACAATGGAAAAGATTTACGCCCAAGAACTCAAAACTGAGTTTTATTCACCTTTTATCTAGAAATTACAGATGTTTAAATATATGCATCTATTTGTTAGCAAAGACTGTAGGAAAGTATAGTTAGTCTTTATTTAGAATATGTGGATGTTTTGTACGTTATTTTTTTTCTGTTGGAACAGTGTAGAATGACAGTGAGGTTCCGGTGCCTATCCACTTTCGGCCACCCCTCAGTGTACATTGGTTATGGCCTGGCCACCCTTATAAATAATTTCTGGCTACGCCTCTGGCTCTGAATGGTACCGATTCATTTATCTCTGCTTATAACTGCTACAGAGAGCTCTAACAGATTTCATTTAAGAAAATAAAACACTGATATGTGAAAACACACCTCAGATAGGTTTTATAGTTGTGGTAGAAGTTTAAGGGATAATTACTTCACTGAACAACATGCTTAACATGTATGTTAGACATTCCACAGTTATTCAACCCTTCATATTATTATGGTAAAAAATATGACTCAGCTGTAAAACCACAAAGAGATGTTCATCTGTCCAAATTTACAGGCAAGGCAAAAGAGCATTGATTCAAAACCAGTTGAGGTCCATGGTTACTCTTGAGTAGTTGCATATAGCCAAAGCTCAGTTGGAATAATATATTATCAGGACAAGTATCATTTAGTTTGATTTTATTTAGTTCTTTTTTAACTGAAAGAAGAACACAACGTTTTAGTAGATTATAAATGTCATCAAAAAGTGGACAGTGTTAGTTGTGGGCACGAATGATCTTCTATAGGGGTCTGCCTTATAGTGTAGCAGAAGAGGCATCTGATTGAAGCCAGGGTTGTTGTATGAGAGCCTCTTAAAGAAGAGACTTCCTGATGATCAATTTTTATCAGCTGCATTACTGGCTTAATCAGAAAACATCTGGAATAAATCCTCTTTATTTTTTTCAGCCAACATAAAACATTATTGTGTTTAAAAACTAACACTATATATCACTGTTAAGACATCCTTCATATGCTGGCCAGAGTTGATGAGAAAAAGGATCGATCTAAGTACAATGCAATCTTGGGGAAAAAAACAGCCTAAAACAAATGCAGACAAAATTTTTAAGATGTTTAGGTGCAAAAAACTTTCAATGTCATGCATATTATTCCCAGTAATACTATATAATATGGCCTATTATCATATAAAATCTAAATAACATTTGATAGTGTGATTAAAATGGAAAAAATAAATGAAACTGAAAATGATACTTGGCATCAAATAATACCCATATGATTTTCTATGGCCTTTTCTTTTTTTAGAAGACAATGTTTTATATGAAACTCTGTGATTAGATGCATATTTTTGCATGCTTTTTCAAACAAAAGTTGAAGTGAATTGATTATGAGTTAAAAAAATAAAATTTCTATCTGCAACATTTCATAAGTATGCTTTATAGGCTTCTTTATATCACTTTTAGAGATCACCAGCTATTTGAAATATGGTACAGTAAAAAAATTAACATTTGTCTTAATCAGATTTTTTTATTATAAAGCGTTTCTGATATGACTGAGAGTTTGCAAAACTGTAGGGCTATGAATGACAGAATTATCTGCTCTGATTAACTGATGAAGGAGGAGGAGGCAATGCGTGGCATGGAGGAAATCTCTCTGGGATTGAGGACTGATACGTCAGGTTGCTTCTTACTCTCCAGATCACGAATCTGCAACAGAGTGTCTGTGACTCGGGTGCATAGCAAACGAGGCAGAGATCCACAACATCATCTGCTCCGAGAGTGAAAGCATCACCCACACGGTGAGTGCCCTTTTTTCTCCCAAATCCTTTGCTGACAAATCTGTTTCACTGTAGGAGGTATTTGTTTGTATCTTATCTGTAAAAAAAAAAATCAGTTCTTTTTTTTTCTTTTTCTTTTTACCAATTTAACGCTATTTACAATTTATTTTTCTTTTATCAATTTTCTATACTCAACTAACATTTTCTGAAGATTTAGGCTCATTTCTTCTTCTGCCCAGCAAAGTTTTCTTAAATATTTATATTTCAGACTGCAGTCATCTTACTTGTAAAGACTACATACTAAGTGCTAATTGGTGTCTTTTCTTAACAGTGTTCATGTCTTTATAGAAACCCAGGGAGTAATCAATCAATATACAGCTCTTATTTCTCACAGAAACTGCTACCTGATATAAAAAGAGCATGTTTCCACTTCTGTCACTTTGTGTTTCTTCCATGCATTTTTTTAAGTCTCCCTAAGGTAGCCCCTGAGGAAAATGGCATTCGCTGGGATGTTGAGTGATGAGGACATCAATGCTGCAGTCCAAGCTTGTCAAGGTGAGTCAGACAAGATGCGAAAACTTGCATGCAAGAAGACATACTTAAAAAAAAAAAAAAAAAATTGAAGCAACAAAACTATTCACTATGACACACACAGCATATATGTGCAAGAAGACAGTGACAACGCTCTCAGGGGAAGAAACCTCGCACAATATGTTGTTCACAAGGGGTTTAAGGCAGGGATTGTGCTGGTTACCAGGCAAACATAAGGCAGGAGACTAGTTACCAACACGATACCAAAGAGTTTCCATCAGACATCATTTGCATAGCTGACCCAAACACGCAAGCTATAAACCTCTTCACATGCAGAGACATTTAATTATTTATCTTTAGCAATTATGTCTGCATGGCAAGGCATGCAAAGCTCAATAGCTTGCTCCATAGAAAAGAAAATGTCAGTGCTTTTTATGCCCTTTATTCACCCAAACCTGCCTGTTAGGGATGTTTAAGGCATGTGAGAAATTTTTTTTTAGCATTTCTATACTTCTAATGTCATTAAAAGTTGATATATTTTAAATAAAGGTGGTTATAGAATAGTTACATTAGAGTTTGTAAATCTGTGAATTGATTGATTTATTTTGCACATGTATTACACTGAATCCTTTGAGCTATCTGAATCTTATAAAAAGCTCCTCCACCAGCTAAGAGCTTTTGGCATCTAAGTCTGTATTAATACTTGAGGCAATATTCCTTTTCCTTGTGCAATTTGAGCAGGATAGGAGCAAAGTCCATGAAGTGCTTTAGGGTGTGTATTGGTAAATGTCATTGGCTGAAGAAAGAAAGTCAGCTGAGCGAAAGAGTAAAAGCGACATCTCTATTCAGGCTCCCACTATTCTTTCTTTCATGTCATTCAGCAATTGACCACTCACTCAGGCATGTGTCTGTTTCTTCTGGTTGCTCCATTTTATGCCCCCCCCCCCCCCTCTCTCTCCCTGACCAATATACTGTAGCTCCGGGCACATTTGACTTCAAGTTGTTCTTCACACAAGTTGGACTGACTGGCTTGTCTGAGACAGACAGGAAAAAAGTGTTTACAGTCCTGGATCAAGACAAGAGCGGATTCATTGAGGAGGAGGAGCTGAAGTAAGGGCAACTGTGCCACATAAACCACATTTGCCCTCCCCAAAGACAAGTTAAATCACAGATATTTAGGGCATATCATGTTTTTCTGATAAACATAAGGTTTAGGTAGAAACGCCACACATTTAAATCCCTTTAAAGATATGAAATTCCCACTAAACGTTTATATAGTGATGCTTATTGTTTGGTCCTCTTTTAGATTGTTCCTTCAGAACTTCTGCCCAGCTGCCAGGGAGCTGACAGTGGCCGAAACAAAGACGCTGATGGCAGCAGGGGATAAAGACAGTGATGGCAAAATTGGAATAGACGGTATTTTACTGTAGAGAATTGGAAGAAAAGCGATGCAAAAAAACTAACATATGCACAGGAGAATAATCCTACAGCAGCCAAAATGATAAATGCTGTTGGAAAATTCTTCTGCAGAAACTAACTTCTGTCTGTTTTTTTCCTTCCTGCAGAGTTCTGTGATCTTTTAAACTGAAGAAATAAATTCACAAGACCAGATCCCTGTGCTCCTTCTCTGATTCCCAGTGGGATTATTTTCCCTCCACAATGAATAATGGAAAAAAAAATGTCCCTAAACTTCTGTACCTGCCTGCTTGTTTCCCATTTGATGTGTTAACACCTAGAAACATTTAACAGACAAAGGGCCCAAACTGGATATGTGTGTTCAATCCAGCTGGTTCTCTGAATGGAGTAATAAATGGATTTCAGGTGTTAGACCACTGTTTCCTGACTTTTCCTTTGTCTGTTTGAGTTCATTCATAGACATAGCCACATTTTCTTAGGCCCTCTTAGAGGTATTCAAAGGTGCAGATCTAGTGAACTAAAAATTATGGAGAAAATTATTCTTGTGTTTATATTCAACACTCTTATAACTGAAAACCTGAAATAAAACCCAGTCAAGTTAACATCTTTCAGAAATCACCTAATCAGAAAATAGGATTTACTTGTGCATAACTTAATGTGTGTATATCCAGCTGTTTTGTGAAGACCCCAGACATTTATCTGAGAATATTTCAGGAGGAACGGCATCAAGACCAAGGATCAGGAACCATGTTGGGCACAGTAACACAATATATAGAAATGCTATGGAAGAAATGAAACTAGCACTGCACCCTGATCACACCATCTCAAGCTTTAAACCTAGTGGTGGCTGTATTACCTTGGATTGCTCCTCATCAGTACAGATAGAGAAGCTGTTCAGACTTATAGGAAAAATAGATGCAGCCAAAAACCAGACAATATTGGAGGAAAACCTTTTGTCTTCAGGATACTTGGAAATTGGGTTTTCAAGTATTTAGATAAAAGCATATTCATTTGCTAGAATGGTTTAGTTAAAGCCCAGACATAAATCCAACGGTGAATCTGTTATAATTCAATCTGATATCATTTAGAAAATAAAACTCAGCAGTCAATTTACCTGAACTTGAGTAATTGATCAAAGAAAAACTAGCAAAAGAAAAAAGTTAGTTCAACATGATCTTGACGTAGAAAGGTTGAAGGTGCACACAACATTACTAAGATCTCGTTTGCTTTTGGATTTGAATCTGGGTGCTTTCTACCCGGGCTGTGAATGTTCTTTCTATGCATGCATAGGTTCTCTCGAGATAATCCAGTTTCCTCCCACATCCCCGAAAATGACAGAACAACAAACCAAAATCTATCTGATCATTGGTTTGACTGCTCTTTATAAATTACTCTTCAAGAGTGTGTGTGGATCAAATAGCTTTACCCCATGTGTATGTTGTCTGGTCTTTGAAAGGCTGACCACCTCTGTACAGTGGAGTGAACCAAAGTGTAAAAATGTCATCTTGTATCTAGATATATGTTTTATGTTTTACACCAGACAAATATTTAAAGCTGTCCTTCTGCTGCAAGCATGAAGGATCGAGAGATGGGCTGCAGCACCACAAGATCATATCCCAGACCTGTCTTGAGTTTCACGTCCATAAACTCTCATTTGCACTTATTTAGGACAAATAATCAATATAATCTAAGGGTATTGAAGAAATTTTTTTTTCTTTATTTTAAGATAGGCAAACGCATTAACATGATACACACAAGCTCAACAATAGAGCAGATCATGTACATGAATGTTTTTGATATACTGTATGTACCTGGATATACTGTATATATATTGTTTATTCTTAATGCACCTTTTTCTCCTTGTTTGCACCTTCTTTATTTACTATGCCAATATGTGACCAGTGAATTTCTCCACTGTGAGATCAATAAAGCTCATCTAATCTAATCTAATCTAATCTAATTGCATTGGATTTCTCACTAAGCTCTGGATAAAAATTGTTCAGTTTAGGGGAAATTATTCCGGTAATGTGGCTCTTCTTTAGTTTGATGATAAAATATTTCTGTTCTTATTTCTGTTCTTCAATATTCAATGTTCCATATTTAGGATATCAGTACCTCTCAGATATGTATTTTTTTATTATAAAAGTAATAACAAACCACACACAACTGGTAAATTATTTTAAAAAATGGCTCTTAAGTTGATATTTATTTACCTAGGCAAGCTGTAGCACAACACTCTACTGAATACTTCACTTTCAGGGTTCGGTTATCAGTTTAGTAGAGAGGTGCCAAATTATGGAATACATACTTAGATGTACCCAAGAAAAACTATAGTTTTAAAGTGTTAAAGGTGGATTGGGTTATTTGATTTTCAATCTTGTGGATTCCTAAGATAAATATCCAAAATTTTTTCTCTTTTTATGTGCTTTTGTAACTGTTCTCTTTACATTTATTTATTTTGCACATCTGTTTATAACTCACTTGTATATGTATATTTCTTTTTGTATAGTATGTAATTGGTAACCACATGTGGAGGCAGTTTCTTAGTTATTTTCCTCTTTCGGTGTTGTCATTTATTTTGACTGTATAATTCATATGCATTTCAACATTGTTCAAATAATTATCATATGTCCTATTACAGCATACATAATGACATGATTGATGTATAATGCTAATAACAGCAAAAATAAAACTCTAATTTAAATTATTCCAAGTCCAATTTTACCAATGTTTTGGAATTAATCTTAAGATCACCTTTACTGAAATCTATTGATTTACAAAAATAAAGTACCGGTACCCAGATTTCCTTATTAGGATTTGTTCATCTTTCTGGACTGTCAAATTACAGGGGAGTCTGGTTGAAATATTAACTGCCATTTGAAATATCTAATCTTTATATTTATTGGGCCCAAATGGCTGACAACTAAATAAGCAAACGAAATGAAAATAAGATTTGTCATCAAATTGTCAACCAGCTACACAAAATTTACTTTGGGATGCAAAAAATAGTCTAGATGATTGGCAGATTGCCTACTAAGGACAGATATCTGGTAGTAGAGACCTCAAAGTCCTGTTCCGGTTTAGACGTGCTGGTACATCTGAAATGTGACCCTGCCTGTGGAGGTTCCCTGAAACTCATGTAAAGATACTGTATCCTATGCTTTGCACAGAGGATAATCTACCTATAGGCAGAGGTCAATGGAGTCTAAAGCTCTATTACTTAATTTGAAAGATGAAAAATGAAAATAATAGTTGTGATTTATACAGTTTATAATAACCAAAAAGCAAGTGATTGAATACTATGTGCATGTTTAGATGTATTCAGATTTCAAGAACTCATTGCATTATTTTCTTGCTTGTCAATATAAATACATAAAGCAGTAAAGAATAATCTGCCTGGTGCAAAGATAGAAAAAAGCTCACAAATCACAGCTGATCATCCCAGCAACATTTTTATAAAGGGTAACATTTCAACAATCCTTTCGGGAGATCTAGAGCACATGGCAACAAGTTGTGCCTATGGCCTTAAAGAATTATTTTGTCTCTATAGTAATCGGGAAATCAAACACCAAGAAGCTGCTTGTCCTTAGTGTTGACTTCTCATCATGTCGCAGGATAAAGTGTCTGCCGATGCCTTGCACACTCACATATACAAATTTATGGTCTTCAACATCAAAACCAACATTTTAGATTTTGGTTGTAAATCATCATATGATTGCAACATGTGCAATGTAGCCGAGGAGTCTCGGAGCTGCTCAGGTTTCCACATGTCTAGCTATAGGCCTATGCACACATGGTAGCATCCTCATTTGTTCACCTAAAAATAGATCTAGGCTACTAGACACATTTTTTCGAAACCCATGCATCTTGGTACCTGATACTGAGACTCAAACGTCTGTAAATGGTGTTGCTCAAGGATATATAAGAGAGGGGGAAAGAGGCTTTTGGCAATCACTCCAGTCCGCCTTGGTTTTCACTCGCCTCAACGCAGAGCAAAGGTGAGTGGGACGGGAACCTTCTAAATGCTACCCCGACTCCTGCAGATCACACTCCGGGGTGAAAAGGATTCAGAGGAAGGGTATCCTTGTGGACTACCAGCTGTAGGGAGAAATGGAGCCAACATAGGCAGCAAACACACGGACCTCAGGACATTTCAGTTAACGAAAAGAGACGGCCTTTTGGTTTCAGAGGATCAGTGTTTTTGGAAGAATAATGTTTTTTGCAGCGATTAATATGTTCTGCTGCCATCTGATTTTTTCTCTATGTACGGCAGATACTAATGTTTGTGTGATTTGGTCTACTGGGGAAAGCATCACTTACTAAGTGCCATCACAGCTTAACACTTTGGGATGAACAGTCAGTAAAGGGCTGCGAGGAAATACTCTGAGGCAAAAGGAAGATTTTTAGCTCAGGGGAAGCATGGATATTTACCATGGGAGATTGTACAGTAAAAGATGAGATAACTCTTACCTAAAGCTAGAGCAGAGAAAAGACTATTTTATATTCAGGGCTTAGCTACTGTTGTGCGACTTTATACCTTCAGAACAGAACCGATCACAGGCAGTGTTTCCATGTTCATTTGTGTTGATGCATTTAACTGAATATGCAAAGTTAAACTGTTTGCATTATGACCACATGACAACTTCTTAATATTTAGAATACTAATTTTCACCTTTTCTTTTCCTTCCAAGAATAAAAAAAAATGGCCTTCGCTGGTCTCAATGATGCTGATGTCAAAGCTGCCCTGGATGGCTGCGCAGGTGATAACTCACTTTCTTCTTTTATTGGCACATTGCAATATTTACACTGAAAAGTAGGTGTAAACAGAGAGGCAGAGCCTCAGAAACTCCAAGATGTAGTTACCTTACGATCAGCTCTCTTACCTATCCTGCACTAACGACGTTGCAATGTGCTCTTTCAGCTGCTGACTCCTTCGACTACAAGAAATTCTTCAAGGCATGTGGTCTGGCTGGCAAGTCTGCCGATGATGTCAAGAAGGCCTTCGCCACCATTGACCAGGACAACAGTGGCTTCATTGAGGAGGAGGAGCTGAAGTAAGAAAATACTTGAAGACTTAAAGCTGTTAAAGACAAAGCCTATTGGCCTTAGGATTTCAGAAAACCTGACATTACAATACAGTGTTGTTTCATCAGTACATTTAAAATGGCCTCATTTAAGGCAAATTGATTATCTTCTGACTTACTTGTACATATATTACATTTGCTTAACAATCCCAAGAACAAAACACATTTAAAGAATTCATTAAAGCTTTTTTGCCATTAATTAAACTCACTGTTTTTTCTACTTTTTAGGCTGTTCCTGCAGAACTTCTCTGCCAGTGCCAGAGCACTCACCGACAAGGAGACCAAGGCTTTCCTTGCCGCTGGTGACAGTGATGGTGATGGCAAGATCGGAGTTGATGGTAAGGGTTCTTCACATAAACTTTGATGAACTACCTGAAAAAACCTCAAAATCTTTATAGATATCGCTGAGCACTCTGACTGCCAAAGGGCGACATCTCCAATGTTAAAAATGGCGGATGTCCTTCCAGAGAATTTTGTAGTAGTTTATTTTTCTATAAGGCACATTTTTTGTTACAAGGCAGGGCAGTATTTCCTTGCAAACAGACTGGGAAAAGCATCCTTACTTGTTCTTTTTATGTAAAGTTACATCTACCAATCCGAAAACCATACCAATTGAGAGTTTTTCCCTTTGGTCTCTAAGTTGTAGAAATCGTAATTTTTTTATGAGAATTGGCTCAATTAGTATTATCTTAATATATTTTGCAAATATTTTCTTCTTTCTTGAACTAACAGAGTTTTTCTCTACCTTTGCAGAGTTTGCTGCCCTCGTAAAGGCATAAATCTCCACTGACCAACATCCACTTCTTTTCATGGAACCGCAAACTCCTCAAAGATTCATTAATCAACAGCTGAAAGAATATTTTTTATACCTTATTTATGAGCTGCCTGCGAACTGTTTCTCAACATAGAAGACATATTTTGCTGTTAATGTTACTCAAACTGTGTTATGTGTTCAGAAATGATGACTTGTGCAAACTGTACAACACCATCTGCACTTTTGAGGAAGAGTGAAAAACCAGGAATAAATACTCTTTTGGTGTGAAGCCACCTTGTTCAGGTCAGTCTTTGGCTGAGTGTGCTGCATTTCCTAACTGAAATCATTTCAACACAATGGACTCACTAGACACAGCCAGTGTCAAGTGAGTGCTCACTTGCCACGGTTCTTGAATGCTCAAGAGGTGCTAACTGATGGGCTAGATGACTCGCCTGGCACTTGTTCTCATAATTGGTTAATGGGAAGGGGAGCGTGGCTGGACTTTGGCCAGGGCATTGGAAATGTGCTGGGAATTGCCCTGGGGCTTTGCTCACATGCATCTTTAGATCCAGAGAGTTCTGCAATAGACAGCTGCCAGACTTCATGTAATTAGATGACCAAGTCCAAGATCTATTTCTTTAACAAGTACTGCATAATCAGTTAAACGATTTGCTGTGGCAACAGGACGGCTATTAACAGCCGCTGCCTCAGCAACTAGGCTGTATTCTGGCTCAAATCCACTGCAAAGGGTTACAATGGCTTTTAACAAATTACCAACTTTATCTTCTTCAATTGCAAGCCCACTGCAGAAACAGTTTCAGCAGTGGGCTTGCTATTAGTTCAAACAGCTAATTTTTATTGCAGGGCCAAGTTACAATACAAATGGGTTTTTAATTTCCAGGGCACTGCTGGTCATCAAAATGTTAACCCTCATCCCTATCAGATGACATCCTCACCTAGTTACAGTCAGGCAGTGTTCAAAACAGAAAGAGGTGACTGCAAATCACCCCACAGCATGGTGCTGCCACCTATGGGTCAAAACTCTACTGCTTTACCCTCTTCAAAGGTTCTCAATTGTTGTTCTATGTTTTAATATAAAAAAACAAAACAAAAAACAAACACCCCAACCACACCCAAAAAAAAAAAAAAAAAAAAAAAACCCCCCCCCCCCCCCCAAAAAAAAAACAAACAAACAAAAAAAAAAACTAAACAGGCCTCTTACAAAACAGAGCAGTATGTACAGAATGTTATCTGCCCTCTAGAATAAATATTTTTTCCATAGCCCATAGCATAGATCAGGATAAGGTAGATAAAATAGGACTGACTAAGATTTGTTTAGCCATTTGTAAACATTATTCACCATTAAAACAGAAAAATATAAATGGTCTAAGAAAAAAATGAAATATTTTTTCAAAGGATGATCACATACACCCATTTAAGACAAATCACACAATCACAAATCACAAAATTCCTTACAAAGTGAATTTATAATGCATTCCACACAGTATACAAACAATACCTTAGTAACAAAAAATATGGTCTACTCAAAATTAAACCTAAGACCCAAAATAAAACAAAAACAGATTATAACATATTGTGCAACTTGTAAGTGATAAAAGTAGTAAAACAATCAGTTTATCCAACTTACTCCAGTTGTAATGCATGCATTCTCAGTATCCTCATGAATATGGTTGTGGGTTGCCAACAGCCCTTCCAATTCGCCCACCTCAGCAGTGCGCTGGCCTATTCTTAGCAGCTAGGGACATTAAAGACTTTTTCAAACGCACCTTTTAAGCGTCTTCATTTTTGAAACTTAAAATAGATCTGTCTGCAGTACGAGGCCCTCCTTTTTCTTCCCCTAGTCCTCCTCCTCAGCACGGTGTCAGTTATCTTATGCTTCAGATTTCCACAGCCTGAGAGTATATAAAAGGTCATCAGGAGCACTGGGATGGTCACTGCAGTCGACTCCAGTCTTGTCTGTGTCATCTGTACCCTACAAAGCAAAAGATACAACTAAGGTGAGTCTGAATGAAGAAAGGAAAGAAAAGAGAGAATATGGATTTTGCATCAAGCCTTGCATCTTTGAGAAAACCTTTTTAATTCTACACTGGGGTTTACTGAGGACTTCCCACTGCAATGCAGCATCTAAAGAAATAGACTAAGTTGCAACCTTTGGGAGCATCAGTTGTAAAGAAAAAAAAAGAGAGAGATGGGGAGACATGGATTATTGGTCAAACCTCAGCATCTTGCAATAGTTGCACATGTAAGGCTCAGCTCTTTGGAAGGAATCAAGAAATGCCAAACCTACACTTCAGAGAGAATTGGACTGACTTATTTAAAACCTGGACCCTCTCTAGTCTTGTTTAATCTCTTAAAGATAACACAAGACAGAACATTATATTCTTTTTGTGTATGCAGCACATGCTGTTAACTTTATGTGGTTCACTTAAAATTTCTTTAGATTGTTTGATTTTTTTCTATCAAGGGACCAATAACCATGTCCTTTATATAAATATAACATTCACTTTAAGGTGAACTGTTTTTAAGAAAGTTTGTGGTAATCAATATTTTATCCTTGCAGATCAAAATGGCTTTCGCAGGTGTACTGAATGATGCTGACATTACTAAAGCCCTGGATGAGTGCAAAGGTATTTCATTCACTGCTTTCTATCTGTGCTTTTTAAGTACCATTAACTATATTTATCTCTACTGCTTTTTTTTTCTTTGGTCTTTAGCAGGATAATAAGCTCTTCTGATTTCATGTGCAGATGCATTCGACTACAAGAAATTCTTCAAGACTTGCGGTCTAGCTGGAAAGAGTGCTGATGATGTCAAGAAGGCCTTTTACATCATTGACCAGGACAAGAGTGGCTTCATTGAGGAGGATGAGCTCAAGTAAGAAAATAATTGAATGCTTAAAGCTGTTAAAGTTAAAGCCTATTGGCCTAATTTCACTATATATTAGGAATGAAACATTATAGTGATGGGCAGCGCTAACTGACAAAGAATAGTAAAGTGGGGAATAATTTGTTTTACATACACATGTCACACATTTAAGAG